AGAAAGGTGATTATTAGGCTCATTTTAAATGGGAAATATGGGACTTATACACAAGATCTAAGGCAGACCAAACTCTCGAAATTCAACAAAAAATGTATTTTAGCCGGAAATGGGTTTATGCAGTTTTGTAAAAGCTCTTCAATTTGTTATCAATAAGTTGATAAAGAAGTATAGTATTTATGAAGTCACTTCAAAAATTTCACTCCGACGCGATTTATAAGAGCAGTTCAATATTACATTTACCGGTAATCAAGTTATGTTATAAATAACACGCGTCAATGTTCTAACCTATTTAAACAATCCCCATACTTCGGTGAAGAGAGATGGAAGAAACAGAGAATGAAAAATACATTACATCAAATAAATATTGGACATTGATATGTTGTTCAAAATCACCAATATTTTACATGCTACTTCAACTTCGCTACCGCCGGTGAGGGTGTACAGATAAGAAACGGTGTTTACTCATGCCAGTGCTGTACAGCTAAAAGTTTGTTTGGTAATTTATGACGTGTGATAAGTGTTTTAAATCATTATACTGTCAATATGGCCTTTTAGCGACCATTTGAAAATGAGAAAAATATTAACCCACAATCGAAGTCTGTAAAAAGTAGTAAAATTTAAAAACAAAAACCTACAGACATGCAGTGTCAACATATTGTTTTGAACATATATGGGTGCTTAAAAAAGAAACTGAACAAAACGCTGACAGAACTATTGTAAATCGAATAACGCAATTTACAAAACTACCACTATCGACAATTTATCATATTCTAAAGAAGGAAGATTAGGAAGAAAGGAAACATTATAAATCACTGTTTAAAAAGGAAACGAATTAATAAAAAATTTAGAAAAATAGATGATGTCAACAGGAAAGTTATTCGAAAGACTGTGTATAATTTCTACAATGAAAACAAGGTACCTACACTAGATATGATACACTAAGAGAATATCCCGATTATTACCAATGTTTAGCGACATTGCGAAATATTTTGATAAAATGTGAGTTAGATATAAGAAATTTAATTATCGAATGGTAATAATGGAGTTGTAGCGAATAGTTAAACTTATGCAAGAATATTTACATAAAATCAAAGAATATAGACAGTCCAACAGATTAATAATATATCTAGACTAGAGCTGGTTTGATACACATGACATTGTTAGGTAGATAACTGTAAGAGCTGCAGTTTAAATCCACCATATTCAAGGGTGACACGTATAATAATCTTCCATGCAGGTAGTGAACAGAGATATGCATGAAATGGATTGTTACTGCCTGCCAAAAACATCAATGAATCATCTGCTGATTATCATGAAGACATTACCGCTCATTTATTTGAAAAATGGTTTAATGAACAACTACCTAATTTCCGACCAAATTTTGTAATTGTCATTTACAATGCTTCTTATAATTCAAGACTTGTAACAAAAATACCCAACAGTAGTACTAAGAAAGATGATATTGTAACTTTTTTGAGAGATAAGATGCATTCCTAAAACAGTCCCTTTAAAGAAATATTAACTAAATATTGCAGCGGCACAATTTTAACAAAGAATGGCCAACATATGCCAAGCAGTCTACAAGTTTGATAGTGAGATTTGGAATAATTCTATTTCCCGTATTATTGACAAAGATAATGAATACTCCATAATGGATTCTACAACCTCCTCAATTGTTATTCAGCCCAATTTGGACACTGACTCTAGTTCTGATGATTATAATTCTGATTAAAGGTATATGTATCAAACTTATATTAAATAGTGTGGGTATGAGCTCAGATCGTTACATGATTTCTAAACACAACTTTGTCATGAATTGAATTTGTTCTAGTATTTAGGCGTTTAAAAGTATATTATTTTATTATGTAAACAATGAAACATTGGGACAAACATACAAAATCTTTAATTTTGATATAATTTCATTCTATTTTAATGTCATATTATTATTAATTGACACATAATGTACGAAAATAAATTATTTTTGTTGCTAAATGTGACATGTTGACAACTTATACACTGAATATAAAAATAAATGATGCGCCCATGTCCCATAATACAATATATTCTTTTAATGTATGCCAACAACCAGTTCTTTGAATTCTTCAACTGACTTTATAAATACTATAACCACGGTATATTGCTAATAAAGAATTCTTTAGCAATATACTGTGCTATAACACAGAATCCATATATACAATCTTCACATTTGTAAGAGCTGTGAGTCAAGTGAAAACAACAACCAAAGTGCCCAACTAATAACTGCTTTTGATAAATTCGGTGACAACAATATGTAATAAACGAAATATATATGCAAAAGATTAAACATCATTATTTATTTATACACAATATGCAGGCTCTTATTTTAAAGGATTTTTTATGCCTTTTGCCAAAATTCTACATATTTCTGTCATTCTTCTGATTTAGATTATGGTTAATTAACCAAAATAACAATTGGTGAATTGGTAATCAAGAACTGTATTCTACATTAAGAATCAGTTAAAGGAGAGAAAGAGAATAAAGGAGATGACACATTGTGCCTTTAAAGAATAAGAGGAAGAATGCACAAGCATTCTAAATGTACATGCTCTGGCTGAAGAGAAGGATGATAAGGACAAAGATATATTCTATGAATTATTAGCAGAAGAGTTTAGTAAAATACCAAAACATGACAAAGTTCTGTTCTGTAAAAGAACCTGTGTATAAGTGACTTACAGGAACAAACAGTATGCATGACATAACTAATGGAAATGAGAAAAGGTTTATATGATTGGCATTGGAAAACAGATTAGTAATAAAACACTCAGTTGTAGGGAAACAGAAATCCACAAAGGAACATGCTTTTCCCCTGATGGTATAACTGTAAAGTGCAAACTATGAATGAGGTGAAAAGATTTAATTGATACAGTGACTAACTAACTAACTACGGCCAAAAAAAAAACATTATTTCTCAAATAAATTATCAGAGACACAAATAAAACAGCAAAAATAAGGTTAACATTAAATCATATTATCCAGAACCAAAAACATATAAAGAAGACAGTAAAAATTCATGAGGTACAATATTATAATTCTACATTCAAAAGAACTTAGAAAATAGCTAATAAATTACACCTACAATACTTTGCACATATAGAGACTGGAAAATACAAATTCAAATGGCAACAATCTCAAAAAACCATATTAAAGAGGTTGTAAGAAAACTAAAAAAAGGAAAATCTCCAGGAGCTGCTACCCATTATAACTAAATTAGTTAACCTCTCTCTTATTACTGGATTACTCCATAAAAACAAACTCTGTAAAAATTGCTATACTGGTACCACTGTATAAAGAAGGGGGCACAAAGCAACCTAGACAAGTACATTCTCTGCTGCTACTGAGAAAATTACGGACATATACAACAAATTAGACAAAGGGTTTAGTTGTGTATTTGTATCCCTGGATTTGCAAAACACATTCAATACAGTTGACCATGACATAGTTATTTTAGTGCTTGAACAATATGGGATAACTGGAATGGGTTTGAACTTTAGTTGGGTTGAGGGACTATTTCAGTGGCAGAATACAAAAAATGCTATGTAATAATGTGCTAAACTCAGCAGAAGATATTGCATGTGGAGTTCCTTAAGGGTCTATATTGGGACCAACACTGGGCTAAGTTAAGGTTTTTTTCCATGAAAATATATTAGAAAACATTGTTTTGCATTTTTATTAATTAAGTTTATTCATTTTTTTATGGCCTTGGCATAGCCAATTGACCAGACTATTTTGTAATTTGTATTCACAGAAAGTTTATTTTATATATTATATTAGATTTTCATATTTTTCAAGACTTTAAAAGAACACATACAAAATTTAACTTTATGCAGCTTGTTTTGGATGATAAATGATTAAAAACCATGTATTTGGTCCAATATAATACTAAAAATCATTGATATTTACTGTTTTTGCTTTTATTTGTTATGATTATAAAACAAATATATATTTTGTTGACTTTTCAGGAAAAATTTTATATCTACATCTACATTTTTTGTTTCTGCCTAGTAAAAGTGTTAAAGTTAAGAAAACACTAGTTAAGAAAACATTAAAGTTTGAGCTTTTGTTTCCTTTTTCTGGTAAGCCCACCAGCAATTGTGCATTTTCAAGGCATATTTCTTCTTTTACTTATATAAAATTAAGTTGAAATTTTTGCTGTACTAAGTCAGTGGCGCACCCAGAATATTTTTTGTGGGGGGAGGGGGTTGGTTGGGCACCAAATTTTTTTTATGCTACCTCCACCATTTTAAGTCCTTAAAATTTGTGAGTAACAGTGTTGAAATAGTGCCTGAGGGGTTAACCCACATACCCTTCTGGGAGCGCCACTGTACTAAGTTAACTATAAAGGCAAATTTGTTGAGTCAATATTCAATATTTCTAAATATCTTGTAGGCTTTTTTGTTATATCCTGATATTTTATTTTTGTAAAAATAAAATATCAGAGTGTCAACTTTTCCATAGATCTTATTTTCCTTATTATCCATATTTAACAACTTTCCCATATTTAAGAACAAAACTTTTGGTATATTTCTTCATATAAGTACTAAGGAGTTCTTAAATTGTTAAAAATTTGTGACAATTTTTTTTAACATTTAAAAATGTTATAACATGATTATTGCATTACAGTGAAATCTCTTCATAATCTTCTATATTTATAAGCATATAGGCACATCTATTTTAGTTTAGTATATTTTGTTTTCCAAATCACCTTTGAAGTATTGTGTCATATGCTCTGCTCTTAATAGTGAATGTTGCTCTATTACTAATTAAATAAATTTATTTAAATTACTTATAAGTAACCATATAATGTTAAAAATTGATATACGCATTTTGTCCCTACGGGTTTACTACGCAGAATACTGGAAATCAATGTAAGACTTGCGAAAATTAGATACGATAAAAACGTACTAGTTGCTTATGTCTTTAGTAACAAATAATTAAGAATACAGTCAGATTTTACTTACGTCATCCTCAACTGTGAATTGGTGGTTTTGAGAATCCAAAGTCTTAACTGTTAACTCAATCATCTTGTCCCTTAAAACAAGAGATATAAAAAGTTCGATAAGGCCAAGGCGGACATATACTTCCTTATATACTTCAAACTAATCACTCTACAAAAGAGGGTTGTCCTTGTAAGCTGATTTTCGTATATTAGAATTAGAAGCACAGAGATGAAGACGTATATTTCAACGTGTTACTCTTCATCAAAAACCTAAACCTATTTTACACCTTAAACCTTTTTTGGTGAGTCAGGAATATCAAAATGGCCACAACAAATGACGTGCAAAATGTACACTGTCTGCTGTCATTAATCAATTCATATTTTGTTTGAAGAACATCATGCAAAAAGTATAATTTGCCAACCAAACATGTTTTTTTAATTTGGTTGGAGAATAACCTGTTAAGCAAACTAAACAAATCGTGTATTCGGTTTGTAAAGAGTTTTACAAAGCAGCTATTAAATTTTAACAAAAAATTTTCACATATTTTATCTTTGTTCATTGTTGTGTTGGTAGTAATGTTGATCATTAAATAGGTTTTCACTAATTTTGTTGCAGTTGGTTCTCCTGTTTGTTTATATTTGTTGTTTACGTAATTTCACAACTATTTTGACAAACGTGCCATTGGTATTATTTATTTAAGTTTACCTATAATTTTGTAGTATTTAAAATGGATATAAAACAGCAAACATCACGGCTACTTCAATTAACTATTAGCGGGTTTGGAATGTTATCTACATTTTACATGGTTACGGAATTAATGTATTTTTTATCTTTTCCCAAAAAAATTGATCAATATGTAAAAGGTAAGGGAAAAATTAATACATTTTATAATCTTTTATTAACGACTTTTGACCAGACCTTATAACCAGATTTATATTCAAGTCACTAAAAAACATTAATTTTTTAAATGACCTATTTTTGAGTTTAAAGTCCAGAAGCTTCTTCAGATCTAATAGTCAGTGACGGCTCATAATAGTTATGTTTAGGAGAGCCCAAAAACATCTAGTTTTACAGCTAATTTGAAAATTTTGCCTTTTGACAGTTCTGTATAATTTTCCTTCCCATGTAATAGATTTCTCTCTTACAACACATGACTAGCCTAGTTTGATTTATTTTTGCATTGCTATGATTTATTTCATGCATTCCCCATCTATTTTACCTCCATTTCTCTGTAATACTGATCCTAGACCATAGTTTATTTAGCAGTCTTTCTCATACCTGTCCCAACAATACAAGTTAATACTTATTGCTAGTAATCTTCACATACTCACCAGCAACTACTTTCTTATTGAGCACCTACTACAGAACCTCTTGAAGCTTAAAATATGCTGTCTAAAGAGGCTCTCCACCCTTCACCAGTTACATTATCTGGTCCAGCCACTTTACCTTTTTTTATTTTTGGAAGTGATCTAGCATCTTCCTCATATATCTTTGGTGTTTGGGAAAAAGGGCTTAAGTCAGAATTTCGCAAAAAAATTTTTTTATGCCTTCTGGACCAAAAATATCAGCTCTTTTTATTGGTACAAACGGTTTAAGTCTACCACATTGTAATTCAAAGTTATTCACGATGATATGAAGGTCACAAACATGATTGTTCAATATGGTATGGCAATAAGACTTAAGTCAATTTACGTCTCTTGTACCATATACTGGGGAATAACTGCTATGATCTAGAAGGCATATGTCTTGACATAAGCCTTGCTGATCTTAATGATCTAGAATTCATATAATCTAGAAGGCATATGTCTTGACATAAGCCTTGCTGATCTTTATTTATTTTCTGTTGTTTGATCAATAGGTCAATGTTTTTATAAAAATATTGTATACCGAAATAAGTTGGCAATAATAATATAATATTGTCATTATTTATATTTTAACTACTTACAAAATAGTTATCTACTTTCTAGCATAGCACTTTTTTATTTTAGTTGTATTTGCAAAATTCGCAAATATTTTATGTGATGCATACTTACGTGTCAAATTACTGATAAACATCATAAACATTCCTTTAGTATTTAGAATTTAGACTACAGTCGGCTGTGTACTGTGTAAGTGTTTAGCTTGGCATTTTGTATTATTTTGTTAAACTTGTTTTTAACAGCCTAAATAGTTTGTTTGAAACAATAGGACAGTTTCAGTTTATTAATAGTACCTACCTATATATTTTTAAAAATTAATATCAAAATGAAAAGAGTGGAAAAGATAATGGCACTCGTACATCGTAATAGTTTAAGTGGTAAGTATTGAAATATTTCCTTTAAAATTTGTTTGGCATAAACTAAAGATTATTGTTTTGCATCTACTTCGTAAGTTTTATTGTAACAGTACAATAACATAAGAATAATATTCCAGATCAAGCCGTTACTGAAAATAACGATGATTCTCAGTCATGTAATGATTCGATGACCAACTATGCAACAATTTCCACAGGTATGATTAGGCCAATACTAGACGATTTTCAATACTAATATTTTTTTTTATATTTTAGAAGAAAATAATATAGAGGCACAACTTGAAACAACAGCAACTGAAGTACTTATTGATATTGATAGAGCAGCTATAGCATGTATCACTGCTTCTGTCGACCACGTTGAAAGCTCAAAAGGTATGCATTATTATTATTGTACAACGTATACGAGATATAAAATTGCAAATACTAATTAATGATCATGTAAATATTTTAGAAAACATTGTCAATCCACAAGAGGAGAAATTGGAAGCAACAGGAATAATAATTGTTGACATGGGTAGCTCTCCTACCGAGGAATCTTCTAGTAATTGCCAGACTGAAATTTCAAAAGGTATCATTATTTTACAAATTCTTTTGAGTCATTTTTGTAGCATTTTTAAATATTTTAGGACACATTGTTTATTCACAACTTGAAGAAAAAACAACAGAAGGGATTGATATTGCTAGCCTGGACATTTATATTTTACCTGAAGACGATTTAGTAACTAATAATTTAGTAGACCAGACAGATGTAGCAGAAGACGAATTAGTAACTAATAATTTAGTAGACCAGACAGATGTAGCAGAACCTTGTGGCACAAGTTCAAGTATTAAAAAACGAAAAAGAGGAGTAGGACCTTGGGTTCGAGTTGTTCGAAAAGAAAGAACAGATAAAAAAAATCGTGGAGAAAGTTATGTTACTGTAACAGGAAAGCATGTAGCTCAAAGAATGGTAAAAGAGACATTGAAACCATGTAGATCCAAATGTGCAGATTTCTTTACCTTTGATATAAGGCAGACAATATTTCAAGAATATTGGTCACTTGGGACTCATGATAGGCGGACACAGTACATTAGTGGTTTAGTTTCGTGCAAAAATACTACTACAACAAGAAAAAGAAATCAAGACTCTGCCAAATCCAGACAAGTCACATATATATACCATTTAGAGTACAAAGGTGAACGTCGTGTTGTATGTAAAACGTGTTTTATGGATATTTTAGATGAAAAGGAAAAATTTGTAAGAATTGCATTAACTAACAAAGGTAACCACAAATCAGGTATTACATATGCAGATAAACGAGGAAGAAAATCACCTGGAAACAAAAAAACCGAACATATGAGAGAGTTAATTATAAATCATATTAACTCATTTCCGCAATACGAAAGTCACTATACTCGCAGAGACAACATTAACAAGTATCTTCCCAATCATCTTAGTTTGAAAAAAATGTATGAACTTTATTGCGAGGTAGTAACTGAGCCAGTTTCTAGGACCCTATACGAGGAAGAATTTCACAAAATGAAATTAAAATTTAAAGAAAGAAAAACTGATACGTGTCACAAATGTGATGTATATAAGATGAAACTGGAAGTTTGTGATAATGAGGAACAAAAACAGATGATTGTGAAAGAGACCAATTCACATCATGAGGCAGCAGATTTAGCATATAACACAAAGAAGGAGGACAAAGCAAGAGCTCAGATTGATCCATCCATTAAATGCTACACCTTTGATTTACAGCAGTGTCTTCCAACGCCAGATCTAGAAACCTCTGTGGCATTTTACAAAAGGTTGTATTGGACATATAACTTGACCATTCACGATTGCGCTACAGGCAAGGCATCTTGTTATTTATGGCACGAAACTTTGGCCAAGCGTGGCGCAAACGAAATTGCATCGTGTCTCTATAAAGAAATAATGGATTTACCAGATTCAGTAAAAAAAATTATTCTATACTCTGACACATGTGGAGGACAGAACAAGAACTCACACGTAGCCGCTATGTTCACCTATCTACTACAACAGAAAAATACAATAGAAGAAATTCACCACAAATTTCTAATACCCGGCCACACCCGAATGGAATGTGATGCAGATCATTCTTTAATAGAAAAAAAGAAAAAAAAGAGTGCTACTTTAATAGCCCATCCTCACGACTGGGCTACATTAATTAGATGTACCAGTAATAAATTTAAAATAGTAGAAATGAAACAAAACGAATTTTTCGACTTCGCAGAACTTTTAAAAGGTCCATTAGTTCAAAAACACAAGAATATCAGCGGTGAGCATTTTTTATGGCGTGAGTGCCAATGGTTGATTTATGGCCGGATATTCGGTCAATTCGATTATAATACATCTCTTAAATGTGATACACCTTTTAAGCGTATGTCATTAAGAAGGAGAGGTCGCGGTCACACCATTAATGTCACTTCTGCGTACACGCGTCCTCTTCCCGTCACAAAAGAAAAGAAGAAAGATCTGCTTGATCTAATTGATTTAATACCTCCAGTATTCCATCAATTTTACAAGGATCTTCCAACTACCCTAAATATACCGGAAATTGATCCGGATCTCGAGGAAATAGATCAAGAGATTTGAAAGACTGTTGCTATAATAATCATTTTTATTTTCTAGATCTGGTTTACTTTTATATTACTTTTTTATTTTTATTAATAATTATTTGTTAAAAAAAACATATTCATTTGTCAATATTTTGTCAGTAAAATATTTATTACTGTTTTGGTTTTAATTCCCAATCCATTTTAATCACTTTCAATGGTAAATATACAAAAATATAGATATAGAAAAGTCGCGGTCAGTAGGTCTTAAGTCAGTAAATAGTAAGATCTATATGTCTTAAGTGCATTTAAAATATTAAAAATCTACGAAAATCATTTTCTTGCTATAATTATCACTTTATTATGGTATATTGAATGGTATTATTGTACTAAATTGGTTAAAGGTAACATGTGCGATTTATAACAATTTTTGAAACATTCAAGTATTCCCCCTGTAAACTTTGATTTTATGACTTAAGCCCTTTTTCCCAAACATCAGAGATATTTTATTAGTGACAATACAGCACTTATATATTAAGTAAAAATTTAAACCATGTTATTCTATCAATTGTTCTTACAACTCCATTCCTGTTACTTCTGTATCCTTCACCTAGTTCTTTCACCATTTGTCCTTTTCACCTAGTACTCTATTTTTAAGATTTAGTCAATTATTACAAATATATATATATCTAGAAGTTTAATTATGTGATATGACTAATAATATATATATTAGAGATTAAAAAAAATTGTTTTATCATAATATGCTAAAGAATTATATTTTTAGAATCAGAATTAATGACATCATGGGCTCTCTTACTAAATATGGGGTTATTATCACTTTTTATTCTTCAGCATTCATTACTAGCATCCAGTAAAGTGAAGGAAGCATTTCAAGCTAATGGATTTCAAGTAATTTATCGAAGTGTTTATGTAGTTGCTACATCTGGAATATTGTTGGTAAGTCAAATATATTCGGATGAATTTTTTATTTGCAATGTACCATCCAATCATATTTTTACTTGGTATTAAATTATTTCCTTGAGCACTTAGCACACTTGAAGAATCTTGGCAACACACTTTTCGCTGTGATTCTCATAATTGCTTTGATTATTGATCCATGTTTTTTGCACTTTTCCTTTGTTTTTGTTCTTTAGTCATGTTTTATCATCATTTGTTTGTATAAAATTTAAAAGGTTGCGGGTTAAATGATATTATAGAGTAATAATGGTAAAACTTTTTTAATTTAATCAATTCTATATGAGATTCACTTACCTTTTGTCTGTGGTTGGGTCCCGCTCTGAGTCTAAGGGTAAAAGAAATGCACACTTGATGCTGGTTTGCTTGCATTCTCGACAAGAACTTGTTGCAGAGTGCCCAATCATAAAAAATATATGTATGTACGAAAGTCAACGAGGGTGATTCTTTTGTATTTAGGACCTCCGTGAATAGCAATAAATTAAGCTTAAAATGACATTTTAAACTTTCTACACAAAGGAAGGGTACATTTCCTTAAGGACTCTGAAGTCTTTTGGTTTGATAAATAGTTTCCCAAAAACATGCTTTTTTTTTCAGACAAATGAATTAACAATAATTAATCAGTCTATTTAAGTTCGAGAATTTAAAATATGTGGAACTAAAGCCATATTATAATTAGCTAATATATAATTAAATAAAAGATTTAAAACTAAATAAGGTCATATTCTGAATAATAAAAAATAAAATATTTAAATATGTCTTGAACACTTTTCCAAACAATCATCCATCTCAAGATTTTTCCATCCACAATTACGTTTTTTTTTATATCCGTTCACATATTTTCCTTAATTTCAATATCAGCACAGCGTCAACCTTGCACCTATTTAAGTAACATAGCATAAATAAACATTATCTACATAATCCACCACATAATTACCTTTTCAGCTTTAAAATGGTACAAATTATAAATTTTTCAAAAATGGTTCATTTTGCAGTTTTTTCCATTGCTGTGTGAGAAAATGCCTTCTGCCAGGTTTTATAAATAAAAATTTTTGTTTTTTGATTCTCTATAAAGTCCCATTGACAGTATTGGTATTAAATTACTATTGCATTAAGATTTTTCACCCTAAACCAAATATCAATTGTCATATTCTTTCATTCATCTATTATTTATTCTGTTTTACTTCAAATTCCTTGAGCATTCCAGATACTGGTATTTGTCAACCTTTTCTATTGCCTGAGCCATTTCAGTAGGTTTCCATCAAATGTTCAAATATTTAGTGCTGTACTAAAAATTTTTTCCATGAATAAATTTTTCTTTCCTGTATCTAAGGTGTCTTAAGTATTGTTATCACATCTCAATGTCTCATTTCAACCTTATTGTCCTTATATTTCGATTGATTAAAGACTTTCTTTGATACATTATCACAACATTTGTATATCTTATAAGTAAAGAGTAGATAAAATGCAAAAATCTTTAAAAAATGCGCATTTTAATGCATATGCAAATAATGTTTAAAATAATCATATGATGCAAATTATTTGTTTTAATATTTGAAACATATTTAGAATATTTAAACATTAAAACTACTTTTTGAGGATTTAAAATTCTATTTATTATAAAGAATCAATTACTACAGCCAAAAATGATATTGAAACTTAAAATCTAAAATTTGCTTAAGTATATATAATTTTACTATTTAATAAAATAGATGCTATATTAGAAAAAAACTAGAAATTGTTTTAATAAAAATGTTCCCTCTTTAAATATTTACTTTTACAACAAATATGCAAATAAATTAGAAAAGTTAAAAAAAAATGCAAATTTTATGAATTCACAAAAAAATGCATTAAAATGCAAGTGGCATATTAACCGCTCTTTACTTATAAGACTGATTGCAGGTTAACAAAAGTGATAAAAATCAATAGTCATGTTATATTCATTGATTGTTTCTATAAGTATCTTCGTTCACATGTGTCTTTCCTAAATCTTGCTTGGAGATAACAATTACTAATAGTTATGCAGCAAATTTTTATTTAATAACTTTGTTTCCAAACATTTTAGTATGTATTACGGCATTGGAAAACAACTCCACATGCAATCATGTGGGCTTTCAATCTAAATTACAAACCTATCTTCTGGATATATGCATCAATCCACACTGTAGCTTGGATTATTATTTATGTTGGGAACATTTGCTGCGATGTTACCGAACTTCTCGGTATTAAACAGGTAAATGTCATTATTACAACTATAAAAAATATTTATATGGATTGTTTCAATAAAAATTTACTAAAAATTAAACTGTTCTGTTTTTTTTTATAAATATTAATTGATTTGACACACTAAAATTATTTTTTAACCAGTTTGTACCTGGTTAAAAAACTACATTTACTACTAACTAGTAACTAAAAAACTAATTATATTTCAGGTGTATTACAGTATTATGAATCTGCCAGACCCGAACTTAAGAAAATCAAAACAATGGCAACGTCTTAACAGTCATATGAGACACCCAAGCTTTTTAGCATTTGTTTTAATATTTTGGTTGTGCCCTGTAATGAGGTAAGTTATTTTGTCTGCCTTTTTGACCATAATTTAAAATTTAAGTGACTTTAGATAGGTAATTTACAGTATAAAACTGCTTCAATTATTTCAAAACCAAACATATATAATTTGTGATTATGATATTGAAGATTATAATCTGAAAGATTTATTGTTTGCCCATGTTTTTCCAACATTTACTCTGGATATTTGTCCGAATGTTTCATATCTAGTAGCTTAACACTACTAATACACGAAACAATCTCATAAACTATAATATACCAATACATAGACTAACAGCATCTGAGAAAACCACAGAATATGCCTGTATTAAATTCTTTAATAAACTACCTTACAGCATCAAAATAGAAACTGACGTAAATAAATATAGAAAGTCTGTTCAACAATTGCTGACACACCTTGAACCATACAAAGTGGAAGAATACCTTCAAGCTGACCTGTAGGCAGACTAAGGGCTCTTACCTGAATCTAAATATCACTTTTATTATCATTATGTTTTAATATTACTTTTATGTTAAGTGTAGGTTGTTACAGCAACCATTATAAATTATAACTGACACCATTCTCTCTATTGACAATTTATATTTGTATGTAACTTGTGAATCCTGAGAATAAAGCTTTTTTCTATTCTATTCTATTAACAGTTGGACAGTTGGTTTCAAGCCAAGATAAAAGAGGAGAATTCGAAGATGCCAGCACTTACAGGACACTTTAAAAAAACATGCTTATAGAACAGATCACAAAGCCTTGGATCCAATAAAGAAACATTCGAAGCCGACCTTAGCAAAAAAAAGGATTACCAGAAAGAATACCGAATTAAGATAAGCATGCTGAATCCATATAATAAGAGGGTTGTCTTTTTAGTTTTGCATATAGCCATAAATACAAAAAATATATAGACACGTATGGTATACAAAATATGTCCCACCAAGATCCATACACTTTTGCATAAATTCAAACCAATTGGTAAAACATTTATTCCAGTCTTCAGTTGGCACCTGCAAAATCTATGTTTTAAAGGCATCGATGACTTCTTCTGGCGCCTGGAATCGCTGCTCATGCATCGAATTCCTGATATTTGGGAGCATGAAGAAGTCGTTGGGACTGTATGGTGGATAGTTTAACAATTCAATGCTTTGAAGCCCCAAAAACTCTATTGTCTGTTGGGCAGTGTGAGCACTTGCATTGTCCTGATTCGCCGTTGTATGCTGCTTTCAAGTTTCGCAAATAACTTCTGGTAAACAGACGGTTATATACCAATCAGAAGTAACCATTCTTCGATCTTCTAAAGCAATTCTTGCATCATGACCAGATTTTGCGACCATTTTCTTTGACACACTTCGGGAACGGATCACTTTTATTGGTTTTTCCTCGTCTTGAAGCAGATTGGCGTTTATTTTACTGTTCGTGGTAATAAATCCAAGATTCAATACCACTAACAATACTATAATCGTTTTCTGAGCTTTCTTTGTTGAACTTCCAATGTTTTTAAACAACAATTGACGCGAACCGCTTTTTGCTTCTCTGTGGGCAAATGAGGGATCCAACGGAAAACTAACTTCGTAACACCCAGTTCTTTAGGTAGAATCCTTTGGATCCAAGTCTTTGAAATGCCCAAAAGATGCCTTTATCTCCCGATTTTTTACACGGCGGTCATCCTTAATTAGCTGACGAACCGCATGGCCAGGTGGACCTGGCCTAGGTTCGTCACTGTGACTGCAGTGCTGACGTTGAAATTCGCAATGGTAACGGGAAATAGTTGACTGGTGTGATGCATCATTTCCAAACACAGAAACCATTTTAGTGAGATATTGATGTTGGGCTAATCCTCTCTGAAAATTGTAAAAAAATATTGCTTGAAAATGTTCTCGGCTAAGATCCATTTTTCGACCGACTTGCTAATTTAAAAAATTCACTGTATCTACACGACTTGTATCGCAATGAAACTCTCGATGTGTGTCAACAAAATATTGAGGTTACATTTTTGTCGGAAGGTTTTATTGGTGTTACCCTCTAAGCGGCTTTATGCAAAACTAAAAGACAAACCTTGTACAATATGATCGAAATGAAAACCTACAAAAGCGATACATATGCACTTTCGATAACTCACAATAATGGAAAAAGAACATCAAAATATCAAAATGGTATTCTCATTTACAATGGAAAGGACAAAGGAGATCATGCAAGCTCGGAAGTTCACTTTTAACTATTTGAGTAGACGAGAAATTTGAAAACGACATAGAAGATATCGGATATATCAGTCACAAAATCATTAAAACGATCTCAAGTATGAAACACAATAAACTTCATATTCAGTTTAACAGCATTAAGTCAGTGCCAAAATTTCAGTTTTCTTAAAATATTTCCATATCATTTTTGTTGTAACCAAAATCTGACTAGTAGATTTATCCAGAAACTAACTTAGGTATGGAACTGAATGAGGTCTGCTCTCATTTGAAAGTTCTCGGTATGGTACATGTGCGATTTCTTCTGAAGTTTTAATTAACTGCAAATTAAGTTCAGTGGATGTTGTTGTTCCGTTACGATCTGATACTCTTTTTTTTTAATAACAACTGTATTGGTCCTCAAAACTAAAGGGCTAAATCTGGCGAATAGGATGCATGAGGTAGGAATTCAAACTTTAATTCAGAATTTTGCGATTGCAATAACGGATCTAATAATACTCGCCGTTGAAAATTTTCCTTTTACAAGAGAGTTAATGAAAATTATTTCACACTCACCCCAAAAAATCGACACCATGACGTCGGTTGCAGATGTAACGGTCTGCGCCGTCTTTGGAGCCGGTTCTCTGTGTTAAGTCTATTGTTTTGTTTGTCCTTTTGTCTCGGATGTGAACTGACGGACCTATGTTTCATCCATGGTTATGAAACGGCGCAAAAATTCTGATTTGTTGGTGTTGGAACTTTTCTAAACACTCAATTGAAACATCTTCACACTGTTTTTAGTCGACAGTGGAGCAAATGCTTTATTTATCTTGCACATAGACAAATAAAGGTTAATTTTGGACTCAAACTGTTTTCTGTACCCAACATTTCACTTCCTTTTGAAGCAATGTAACTACAGAAAAATATTTATACGTATTACAAGCATAAGTTATATTATTTTAACTTACACATTAATATTATTATATTTATTGTATTTGATTTGTCATATACCTGTGTAATACAGTTTTCTTATTTTTATTCTAGTCTGGACCGTTTATTGCTAGCTGTAATTTTAACAACGTACATGTACGTTGCCTGGACTCCGGATGGAAGTGACTACTATTATCAAAAATATCAATTCGAGCGAAAACATTTCAGACTAGATCATTTTAATTAAAGACAAGAGCATAAATAGGAGAGTAATTTAACAAAGAAGAAGATTTACTGATTTATCTAACCGAAAAAATCATCGCACGGAGAGTTATTAAATAGTATTATGATTTTTTTTTTATTGGTTTTGGTTATAACTTTGGTGTTTGTTGGCAGGCCAACGATATCAACTTCTTTTTTATCTGAATTCAAATTATTTAACTCCTGGATCAAATTAATGCACCTATTAGTGCCCAGTAGTTTATTATATGTAGTAAATATACTAATTTGATTAAACAGATAAAGAAAAAAGTGATTCAAAATAATTGAAAATACATTAGTATTTTTTGTATTATGACGTAAGCCACACGATAGTATCGATGTTTTACAATATTGTCAACGATTCAGTCATGTCTATTAATGCAAAATAGTTGAATGAGAAGATTATAAACATTTTTTTATTTAATTTCGCTTTTCCAATTCTGAATTGTTAGTAGCAGTTCAGTGACATCACAGCTGCATTAGTCCATTTTGTATTGGTCTTGAAAAATTGTTCTTAATTCTGACCATGCTCCCTGGTCCTGTGAGTGTAAGTTTAGTTAGTTGAACAAGATACAGTCCGTCCCAAACCCTTCTTTCAGTGCGTCATAGTTGTTCGAATTCTCTCTAACGCATTAAGCTAGAAGTGACAGAAAAAAACGTGAGTCTCTGATTATTATACATAGAACTTTAAAATTAGGTATCGGTCACGGGTATTCGCATATTAAAGCGAATTCTACTTACGAACGTATAATTGGTTGGAGTTTAGAATACGCTAAATAGATATCCAATCAATTATGCATATAAATATAATTTGACACAGATGATCTTGATAATGACAGTGACAGTACCTTCACAATGTCAACTGAGAAAATGATAATTGCCGTTCCAGGTTAGTATTTTCAGACATTTTACCTACAGTGAAAATTAAATTTTGTATTTATTGTCATAAAAATATTTTAAATATTCCGAGATATACCGAGAATGAACAAAGACTAATATTAAAATTATTAAATTAGTTTCAATTAGAAAAAGAGGCTGAGTTATCTTTATTATCAGTTTCTGTCGTTCGCGAATCAGATTGTGAATTCCGGAATGATATTGAGAAAATATCTTAAACTAATACCGTTATGGATATTTATATGTATTAAAACGGTTCTTTTTAGAACCACGACATTTTCTTGAAATGTAAGATATAATTGATACCAGCCACATATCTAGTGTAATCATTGATTTTAAAGAATCAGATTCTGAATGGGATTATGGATTGTTTGAAATATAATATTCATTTTTGTTATTCATAAAAAAGAAGGTAAACTTACATTCGATATCTTATTTTTTAACTAAACTCCATTAACACGATTTCATCTGGGTCCCGGAACTGGTAGATTAACTCAAAAATCAACTGCTTCACTATTTAAACTATTTATATTGTTTTTTTAACTAAACTTTATAACCTTCTTTCATTTGCACACCAAATCTGGTAGAATAACTCAAAAATCAACGGCTTCACTATTTAAACTATTTCCACTATTTAATAACAAATCTTCACAAAATTAAACTATTGGCTGCCACAGAAACTTATCAGAAAATTACTTATCCAAATATGACTGATTTAAATCGATGTTATTTTATCACAGGAATGTTTACTTTGATGCCTTGCAATTGCAATTGTCATTGCAATATGCCTGTGTGTTTGTAATAAATAATAATAAATCCATAAACGAATCTAAGCTAATTAAGCACTTTCCTTGGAATGTATAAAATAGAATAGAACAGAATTATGACAAACTGCTATGCATTTAAAAAAAAATAACCTTTTCACATTTAGCCGATTACGATCCTACAACAGTCAGATTTAACTAAAATGTCATGCAATAATTCTCGACATTCCTTAAATCCTATATGACGTCAAAATTAGTGACGCACTGAAAAAAGGGTTTGAGACAGACTGTAAGGCGGTATTTGGAATTCCAGCACGGCCAGAAGTTTTTTATCTACTGATTGAGTCGTATATGGCTTTGAAATCCACGAATATGTGGTACCAACTCTAGAGGTTTTTCAAGAATCAAAGATTTGGTCAATTCGGTAAAGGGGTTTTATTTCGAAATTTTAAAATGGCTTCTCTAATTCTTCTTCGGTCGGGAGTGGCTGCCAATAATTTTTATTCATTTGAATCAATGATGAGATGGATCTCATCTTCATAATTACAATTAAGCTTCTTGTGGTGTCTATTTATTTCGAATATTGGCGATCATTCTAACTATAATTATTTTATTAACTCATGCTTTAAATAGATTAGCTGTTGTGGATAACTATTTTCTTAGGTTTTCTAACCAGGATATTTTTCTTCCCAATTCCTCGCTTTCCGAATACTTTGTCTTGAAGGATTATTTTCAGTAATCTGTATTTAGTGCCGTTTCTCATTATATGTCCGAGATATTCTAATTTCCTCCTTTTAATCGTATACGTCACACCTCTTTCTTTCCCCATTCTTCGTAGTACAGTCTCGTTGGTTGTCTTGTCCGTCCATGATATCCTTGGGATTCTTCTGTATAGCTACATCTCGAAGGCTTCAAGTTTTTTCTCCATCGCTTCAGTGAGTGTGCAGGATTAAACTCCGTACTATAATATCGAAAACATATAACATCGTAGGAGTCTTACTTTTATCTCCAGATTAAGGTTGTAGCTTTTAAAGAGTTTTTCCATGCTGTTGAATATACTCCTAGCCTTCTCCATTCTACATGTTATTACTTCTTGTGAGTGATCCCATTGTTCGTTTACTATTGTTCCAAGATAGGTAAACTGTTTTACTCGGTCCACTGGTGTATTCTTGATAAGCAGTTGGACGTCACTAATTTTATTTTTGCTGATGACCATACATTTAATTTTTGATATGTTTGTAGTCCAAATCTTTCACTTAATTCATTTACTTTGTTTATTAGTTACTGTAAACTGTTTAAACTGTCAGCAAAAATATCGGTGTCATCTGCATAGCGGATGTTGTTTACACGTTCTCCATTTAAAAGAATTCCATGTTTGCAATTTTCCAAGGCTTCACTAAATATTTCCTCTGAATATAGGTTGAATAATATAGGTGAAAGTATACATCCTTGTGGTTTCAGTATAATTTTTTTATTATACGTCGGTCTTTATCATCTGTTTAGGTTTTTGTTAGAACATCCATCATTTTTTGGTGTTGAACTGTGTCAAATGCTTTTTGGTAGTCTACAACGCAGGTGCAGATATCGCAAGTCATATCTCTGAATCTTATAGGAATAATAGCTGTAGACCAAACAGTGCATTTCTCGTACCTACGCCTTTCATGAATCCAAACTGTGTGCCTTGTATTCTCTCTTCGCGTAGTTTCTATATTCTGCGATGTATAATTTTAAGAAAAAGTTTTAGTGTATGACTCATTAGACTTATTAGCCTATATTCTCCGCACTTTTCGCTCCGTTTCTTTGGTAACGTAATAAATTCTGAAGCTAGCCGATTTTTTGGAATATTGCTTGTGTCATGTATATTAATAAAGGTTTTTCATAGTATTCTTAAAGATTCATCATCAAGAAGTTTAAGAAATTCAGACTGTACTCAGACTGGTCCTGGATCTCTCCCTTCTTTTGGTGATATTATGGCCGCTCTTATTTCTGCCACTAGTATAGGTGGTCCTGTTCCCGTAGGTATTGAGGACTGGTTCTCCCTCTCATCAAAAAATAAATTTCGTATGTAATTTTTCCAGGTATGTATTATCAATACTCTCTTTGTCCACATTTACCTCTCAGTTGTCATTAACAAGTTTAGTTATTTCTTTTTGTTTTTCCATTTGCCTGTAATTTCTATTACCTTTGTATGCACGTTGAAGTCGTCGTATTTACTTTGTAGAATTTCGATTTTTGGCGTTTTTTCTCCAGTTCTTTCTGTTTGGCTTCTCTGATCTTTCTCTGTATATCTCGTTGTAATGTTTTATACATAGAGTTATTGTTCTTGTTTTTCTTTCTTTCTTCCATCAGCTGCAGAATCTCTGTCGTTATTCATGTCTTATTCTTACCTGCCATAAATTTGTCTTTAAGGTCGTCTATCGTTTTAATAAGGGATTCTATCTTCTCTTCTGTGCTTTCCGTTGTATTAACGATTTCTTTGAATTTTTTAGTTATTGTTGATTAAGCCATTCTTCAAAATGATTCGCCCATCTGTTTCTTGTCTCTAATTACAGAACCATCCCTATCTTTAAATGCTTTTATTCTGGGTTGGAATTATTTTCTACAGCCGTTTATCCGTTGATAAAATTTTCGTGAGTCTTTTGTGTTATGGTGGTACCAATCTCGTTTAGAACGATTTCTTATTGCTCTTCTTTTTGCTTGTAAACGTTTTTTTTTCTTTCGCTGAAGGTTTTCATATCCTTCCAGAGTTAACCTCATTCTGCACTGCTAAAATCTTTTATACGCTTTATTTTTTTGTTGGTTAAGAGATCTACATTCTTCGTCGAACCAATCTTCATTCCTTCTGGCCCTGTTAGATTTTAAAACGCCTTTAGCGTGTGCATAGCTTCTTTACATTGAGTCCAGTGTTAGTAACAGGTGATTGTTTTGTTCGACTTTTCATTTATTTCCAATTTATAATTTAATTATAATAAGTACATTTATTTATCTTCAAGTATATTTTTAAATCAAAATCTTCAATACATTTATAAATTCAGTACTATGGCAATATAATTTGGGGTGTATAAGTCCCAACAGTATCGAACGGGTTAAAGAACATTTACTATTTTTCCAACCAAATTACACTAACTGTGTAACTTGTAAATAATTTTTTAAAAATGAATATGACTAGGATTGTTGATATATTTATATTTTTTATTAATGCAAAATATAGATTTAAGTACTTTATTATTGACAGCTATATATTTGACAAATATTTATACAATATACATATATTATTAAAATGTATTCTTATACTTAAATAGTACTATTTATATCATGGTTGTTAAAATTTTTCTACAATCCATTTAATAAATGATATTTACTGATACACGATTATTTATTTTCTAATTAACTATTAAATATTTGAGAGATAATATGGTGAAAACCCATTAATGAATATAAAAGTCTAAACAAAATGAGACAGAATAATGGACATCTTTTATGAAAGAATTTTATAATGACAGTATTAGAACTATAGGAGAAGAAGAGCAAAGTTATGATGATGACAACATAGAAATCAGTGATAGCCTATGTAAATTAAAAACAGAAAAGCTCTAGGCAGTGACGGTCCGTGAGGTAGTACAATAGAGCCATGACACTACCTTGCTAACTATGCAGAAACATATTTTTTATATTTAAAACATCATCTGACAACTGTGTGTACTGTAAATGGCTATGGTATAGTGCAAAGTAGCACATTCTAAGGGTACTTTTAGGAATCATATAAACTAAGTTGTGTATTAAAAATATACTTGTAGCATTTCTCGAACTTAAGTAATCTGTATGAGCACTACATTCCAAATTATCATCTAAAAAGATTTCTAATAGTTTAACACTATTTCCTTCCAATCGGAACTAAAAATGAAATTCTGATTTTTCTCTTCATTTAGCTTCAGCCGATTATATACAAACCAGTTTTCTGCTTTCTGGGTATCACTATATATTTTAATTATTCTGATTAATATCAGTGTTAATGAGAGTTGTATCATCTGCGAAGCAAACACATTTTATAGGAAAAGTATAGTGAAATAAATCTTCAGATAAATAAGAAACAAAGTGGGTCCTAATATCAAACCTTGAGGAACCCCATATTCGACAGTATTAAACTCAGAATAGCTCTTATTAAGAAAAACTGCCTGTTTTCTATTTGTTAGGTATGATTTAAATAGGTTAAGAGACATTCCCCTAATACCGTATTTATGCATTTTTTCCAACAGTAATTCATGCGAAACACATTCAAAAGCTTTGGATAAGTCAATGTTAAAGAGACAAAATGACCTTCCTCCAAGACTTCAACCTATATCTCTCACAATTTTCTGTAAAGTTAGTGTCGTGCTACACTTTTTTCTAAAGCCATATCTTTTACAGTGAAGTATTTTGTGTTTTTCTACATATTCTATCAAACGAAAATTTAGAGTAAAAATTTTGCCGAAAATGGAAATAATTGAGATGGGACGATAATTTCATCTAAAGCTCCCTTTTTGAACACTGCAAGCACTTTTGTTACTTTTAATCCATCCATCCATGTCACTACAGCCCAAATCGGGCCTTGGCGTCCTTCAACAAGCTTCCTCCAATCATTTTGTGATTTACCGCTGTTTCGTTTCCATGAACCGCTTTCCCAGGCAGAGTTCCTGGCACCGCTCATCGACTTCGTTCTTCCCATCTATTTTTAGGTCCTCCAACAGGTCTTTTTCCCTGCATTCATGCATTTAGTAATTTTCTGGGGATTCTATTCTCATGCATGTGGACCACGTGCCCTGCCCACCCTAATCTCTGCAGTTTAGTGTATTGTGCTAGAGTTGATTCGCTATATTGCTTTTATATTTCTTTATTATACCTAATTCGCCAGCTGTTGTTTTCACTTATTGGGCTCAGTATCCTACGTAATATTTTTCTTTCAAACGCATCTAATGCATTGTCAGATTTATGTGTTACCACCCATGTTTCACAACCATAACTTACTATGGGCCTGATTACTGTTTTATAGACCCGGAATTTTGTTTTCCGGTATACGTCTCGCGATTTGAATATGTGGCCCATCGCAAAATAGACTTTATTTGCCAGCACAAGCCTTCTATTTATTTCCGGTTCTTCGTCATTGCTTGCGACCATAACCATTCCTAGGTATATGAATCTATTCACATATTCTGTATCGTCAATAAAATGTTGCGCCGGTCTATTTGATCTGGTGTCTATAAGTAGTTTTGTTTTATTTGTATTTATTGCTAGCCCTACTGCTTCTGCACTCTGTTTCGACTCAACGTAGGTTTCTTTCGCTGCATTCACTGTTCTGCTCATTATGTTTATATCATGAACTGGACGTATATTTATACGTCCATGCCTAATATTAGGTATCTATACCTAAATATAATGAAAAATATTAATTATTGTGTATTTATACAATAATTATTGTGTACTACATATTTAAAGTGGTAATTTAATTGTTCAATTAGCGTTTTGGATTTTTTGTATTGTGTGTGAAAGACAAGTTACATTTTCCTACTATTCTTTATATATTTTTTACTTTATATGCCCTGGGGAAGGGCTTAACCCCCAAACTCACCCACCCCCGCCGGGTGTGCCACAGCTAGGCTCCACACTATCGCTGTTATTACCCACAACTTTTACATCCTAAGGAGGTTGGTTGACATTTTAAGTAAGACTGTGGATATCATTCATTTTCAAACTTTGTTGCGCCTGCGTTAATGCGCTGAGAATTGCTGATTTGAATTCACTTGTCTCTTTATACCCTTAATTTTCTTTCCATCATTTTTAGCGATGGAATTTGGAGGATGACCGGCAACACCGCTTTGTTTGTTTGTATTTGGCATATGTGTAACTTCCAAATTTGCTGGATTTTGTAGCAAATTTATAATATAATCCTCATTACTAATCGTTCGTTCAAGTTCTCTGATAATCGTTTTAATTTCTCTGTTCACAAATTGTTGATAGCACGAAATATGCCTCAAAATCATCAAACGGTCGTAAAATTTGTATCATCATAGGCGTTCCTGAGGTGTTTATTCATTAAAATATATTATTAATATTAATGTTTTTAATACTGATATATTTAGTAAAAAACAATTAAAACTTTTCACGGCTAATGTTGGTTATTATATTATATTAATCAAAATAATCATTTAACCATTAACAATTTTTGTAAATAAGAATACCTTATCATCTTTGGATATTTCAATACTAATCTTCGCGATTAATCACTTTACTAGAAAACCTGGTAATTCATATCGAAGGTACTATTCGGTTGCAAGATAATTAGGATGGAATTCCCCAGATTTTTAATAATATAATGGGTATAGATGCCGGATTTGGCCACGTACCTCGTCTGTTTAGTTTTATATTCGAAACTTAACTTAAAAGGGTGAAAGTTATTACGAACGAAAACAATTTTTTGTATTTAGTACGTTTTTTGATCGCATGTAATTTACGGCTCGTCGGTGTTTCCGCTTCTACGGCAGTAATTAGCGTCTCGAATATTTCTTTTGCGAATTATATGCAGTGCGTGAGTGATTTTTTATTCCATATACCTACGAACATATACGTACCTTTCGCTCGTGCTCGTTTTGTTGGAATTGTTTGTGATGGCTTCATCATCAACATCATCAAGTTTTACACCGGTACTGTTGCGTAACAGTCTGTTAAGTCTGTCTATTCACCAAGAGAGAAGACTATTGTCCCTGAATGTTCACGATGCTCTGGTTTCTCAGAATCCCACAAACACTGTTCGCAACATAGTCGAAAGTTGTGCCAACATGACTGCATAGGGAGTCAAACTATATATAGGTTCCCTATCAGAAAGAAAAAATACGGTATAGCTAACCCAAACACAAACGAACACTTAAAGAGAGGGAAAAAATCCTATTGAACTTGATGAATTTGCCAAAATGGTATTCGAAGGAAAATTCATGGATTTTTTTTCAAAAAAGAAATATCAAACCTAAATAAAATTTTACAAGAAGTTAGAGCATGATCCTGATTTGCCTCATATCGGACACAACTAAATTGTGGAAAGTTTTTAAAAGAATTAAATTTCCGGTGGGAGAAATCAGACCGAAAATCACTTTGATTGACCGGGAGGAGATAATAATATTGGAGAAGAAAATTATCTAAGAATCCATACGAAAATTCCGGGCTGAAGGAAGGCCAATCTTCTACCAGGATGAATCGTGGGTAAACTCAGTCATACTCTAAAAAACAGTTTGGTCAGATAAAAATATATTAAGCTCCAGGCAAGCCTTTATGGAAGGTGTGGTCTAACTGGTCAAACTCCCACCTTCTGGTAAAGGCAGTAGATTAATAATTTCTCACATTGGCAGTGAAAAAGGATTTGTTAAGCATGGTTTGTTGGAATTTCAGTCCAAAAGCACAAAAATAGTATCACGAGAGATGACAGCTGATGTTTTCGAAGAGTATTTTGTGCAGATGATTGAACACATACCACCAAATTCAATCTAGTATTAGGATAATGCACCTTATCATTCACGACTAGTAGAAAGACTTCCAACGACTGCGTGGAAAAAACAGGATTATTCTTGACTGGCTGCGGAATAAGTACCTGCCTTACGAAGATGGAATGGTAAAAGCAGAACTTTTAAAAATTGCTCGGCAACACAAATCTAAGTTCAAGAAATACGTAGTTGACAAAATGGCGGAAAGGAGAAACATCACAGTCCTTAGACTTCCACCCTACACTGCGAAATAAATCCAATTGAATCATTTGGGCACAAATGAAAAGTTATGTGACTAGAAAAAATACGTCATATAAAATACAAGCTGTACGTGAATTGTTATACGAGTCTTTACAACACATTACAGAACAAAACTGGAAAGATGCAGTAAGACATGTAATAGAAGAACAAAAAAATGTGGGATCTTGATAACATAATTGATGCGACCGTAGAGACACAACCGCTAATTATTAACCCTCAAGACGACTCGGATTCCGAAGTTGATCCTATTTATTTGAATTTGAATAGTTTTCTAATCGTAATTATATAAGGTAAGTGATAGTAGTTGTAATTGTAAGGTATTAAAGGCGAAAGGCGCCAAAACGTCGCCTGTCAAAATGTTCAATGTGTTTTTAAAATGGATCGATTTTTTTTCAAATCCTGAGAAACTAAAAAGCCTTTTGGAAAAATTTAAAGGCAGAATAAAATATTTATTAGAATAAATAAAAAGTTTCTTTTGCGTGCAATATTTTCAATTAAAAATATACTAATATTCTCTCTTTTATTTTCACCCCTGTTGCATAACATAATAAAATAAACATTGTAGAAGTTTTTCAGGGACTTGCTGTAATATACATC